TATAAACACTATTAATATGGTTTGATTATTAATCTTTGTGCATTTAAAAAAAAGCAATAAGTAATTTAATTAAGTAATGCATATTAATAATAATATATATTAATGTATTCTATTCATAAGCTGATTAGCATAATTTTATATTCACTTACACGATTTACAATCATATAATTATTGTAACACAGTTTAGACATTTTGAATTTTTTTTTAAATTCATCTTCACAGTTATTACAATAAATGACATCATCATCATAATATGATTATCAATTTGTGTTTTGTTTCAGTTAATGAATGGGGATCTAACCTATAGTTAAACAAGAACAATATTAAGATAGATAGTTGTATGCATAAATATTGTGATATTTGGTTCTAATTTATCACTTAAAATTAAATCAAATAACCTAATTCAAAATAAGTTAGTATTATTCAATTGACGGCCAGCATGTTAAGGGATTAAAAGTTGTCATTCAATTATTGTCTAAAATCCCAAGTAAACGGTTGATAGTATTTGAAATCACAGTGTTATTGTTTTACTTAAAATTATACATAATAATAGTTTTATTCGTCTTTTAAATGCCCGATTTAACTTTGTTACCAACTCTATATGATTCAAAATGTGTGTTCAATTTTTCATTTAATACCTGGCTTATTGATGTTCAAAACTAATCATACCAAATTTCTTCGTATTTACCTCATCTTAATTTACATTAAAGATTTTTTAATACAGTCATATAAAATGCCAGTCTAAAATTATATCAGTCCTAATGACCATATTATCTTCACATTTTTAGGTTTGTATAGGGGAAACATATTTTTTAAATTAGTACCTATAATAACCAATTGCTAAAGTATTTATCTATACTAAATTTTGTAACCAATAGGAACTCTATATAAACAAAAATATATCATTATTTATTATTATAATTAATGCATTAAAAATAATAATAAAATCAAATGGCCATAAATGCCAATTTAAAAAAAATCCTGGTCCCAGAAAAATTGTAGTCCGGCCAAAATAGAATCTTGATAAATTGTACTAAATTTTATTTTACTATGTATTTATCATAGATATATACATTACACTGAATTAGAAAAGATTAAACCACTTGATAGCTAAAGACATTTTGGGACACTACCAATGTGGTTTCAGACCCAGTACATCAACAACAGATCAAATCTTCAATTAAAACAGAACTTGGAAAATGTGTGGGAATTCAATTAAAGTTTATGTGTGGGTACCAGTGGCGTAGCCAGGATTTTTTTTCGGGTGGAGGGGGGCTGATCAATTTTTTACACAGCGGTGGTTTAGTTTTGGATCGAATACCATACACAGTTAAAATATTTTTTTAATTTTATTAACATTTCAGGGGGGCTGCAGCCCCCTCAGCCTCCCCCCTGGCTACGCCACTGGTGGGTACTATTTGTGGATTTTAAAAATGCTTATGATTTAGTACACCGATATACCTATTAAACTAAAAAATTTAATTTAAGGCACCCTAAAAAAATAGAAATTAAGGTAACATATAGCATCTAAAGTGTCAAGCACAGTTAAAGTAAATGCTATCTTAACACAAGGATATGCGTTTTGACCAATATTTAATAATTCAATATTGGAGAAAGTAATCAAAAAAACAAATGGAAACGACGGAATAATATTAGGAAACTTCAACATAAATCTTCTTGCTTATGCGGATGATATAGCAATATAAAAATACACCGAAGAAGAGAATACGATTATGTGGGAGTGTGAAACTCCTGACAATGACAGAAAAGGAAGGACTCTAGAATTAAATGTTAACGACGAAAAAATGGAATACACGGTGAGCAAATTGCATGTATGTACTGTCATTTTTTATTTAATTACACAAATCCCTGATTTCTTCAATTTTATTTTTTATTTTTCTCCGTGATTTTGAAGATTACTGAGTACTGGGAATTTTAAATTCTGATCTCCCGAAGGCACCAACTGGATTCATGTATTAGGAAGGTCCAAAAAAACTATAATACAGCTGTCCTTAAATTATTTCATACGTAATATTGATCGTAGTTAACTGCCAATTCCGCAGTGGTTTTGGCCTTTTGTGATTCAATTTTGACTAAGGCGTCTAAATGTTTGTACATAATACACCTATCCTATACGTACTTTAACTTATAAAACATAATATACGAGGTAATATAGACAATAGCTATTACTGATTAGTGATTAGTGAATATAATGTGATAGACAAAATAATCGTAGGATATAAACGATGCACTAAAATTGCATACACAGTACACACCTGTTGAGAACCTGCAGCAGTAGGCCAGTGACCACCAGTTTATACCAAGCACTTGAAGCTTTATAATTTTTTCGGTTCTTAAAATTACAAATTAAGGGTTCCTGTTCTTACATGTTCTTTCCGATTCTTAAGAATTCATTTTTCAAACATTAACTATTGCTTATTAGGTAGATTTTTTTAAAAATAATAAACCTATGACCTATGTACCTACTCATAGCTTACAATTTGAATACAAATTTAGATATCCTAAAATACCCAATTTATAAATACAATGAAGGTTCTTAATTTTAAGTTTAAGTTTAACTTATAGGTACTCTAATAAGTACCAAAGCATACAACAGCAGGTTGGTTTTGCTGACTTTAAATTTGCTATGTTGCACATGATCAAAGAGAAATTAAATAGCTTGGTTACATATTCTAGGGACAAAATAATTAAATGCTTAAAATTGAAATACCTATAGCTTAATAATAATTACATTTTTAAAGATTAATATCAAGGTTAGCAAAGTTATATTGCGACAAAAACTTTTAGAGTCTACCTTTTTAGAACCACCACTCTCGTTATATTGAAAATGAAAAATGCAACTCATATGTTTGTAAATTAATCATTTAAAATACGACGAAAATAATTATTTGAATATAACAAAACCCAATTTAACTCAAATATTCGGGCAAGACCCCATTCGCCAAAAATGACCTTTCGCTTTTCGCAAATGTTGCTTTTTGCCCAAATATTTTAAAACTACTTTCCCTTTTCACCCAAGAATATTATAGCACTTTTTGATCACATTTTTATAATACACAATATGGAAAACACTACCTAAAATTATTTATGTCCAATTTATGTCTACAATGGTCTGTGCCTGGTTGAGAGTAATAAATGAAATTCAAACTGAGCTCTACACTAAACTAAACAGTGTCAGTGTTCAATGTTCATTTACAAACTAGTCCCAAAGATAAAAAAAAATTATAGATCGACAACGAAAAATACAACAATGTAAAACAGAAAAAATCAATCGGTATGATTTTATTAAATCGATGGCATTTAATTATTTTTGAGCTTATAATATTCTTCACACAAATCCATTCTCTTTTATTATTGACACAATTTCGATACAATTATAAGTACAATTATAAGCTATTTTTTTTATCGACCTTGTAAATGTTATAAGAATTATTTTAATGTAGCCATGTAGGTACATTTAGTTCATTGAATGCTCAAAATACACAATACATTTTTGGAGAGTAATTGTGTAGTGCTAAATGGCTTTAAGTTATTGTTTCCCGAATTGTGTACTACAAAAATTTGGTCAAAAAGTGCTATAATATTCTTGGGTGAAATGGGAAAGTAGTTTAAAAATATTTTTGTGAAAAGTGACACGAGCGAAAAACGAAAGGCCCCCCCCCCCCCACGAAAAGTAAAAACCGAACTTGTTTCTGTTTTGAGCTGTACTAGTGGCGTTTGAGCAGGTCCCCGCTCAGAACGGAGGCTGGCTTAAGTCTGTCGGTGAAACCTATACTTACCGATTCTTGCACTGCAGTTAGAAAGTTTTTTCACCCCATTCCAGGACTGTGCGTCAGTCTCTCGTAGCGTATAGACATATCTGCGATTCACACAATTGGTAAAACATTTTGGAATTTTACTCACACTGAGTAGGTACCTAGAGATTGTTTATCATATTATAATTAACAAATCTCTTTTTTAAAAGTTCAAACTACAATAATTATTCAAATGTTGACCAAACTATTTTGTGTATCATATTTAATTCCTCGATCGGTATTTGTACTCTTACTGACGGTACCATAACACACTAACATGTAGAATATTATTAAATATTATATAAACGTTATAAAAAATTCAAAGTTTTATGTCAACACATTATAGTCATTAGAGCACAAATTCCATTCAGTCTCCGATTGTCCGTCTATGACTAATTTAACCTCACTATTTTTCACAACAAAAACATTTTTGAAAATTGAAGAAATCCCACATGAAAATTAAAATCGATGGTGAGTGGACGCAAAACCTGGATAAGAATTTTCAAAAAAAAATGTGTAAAACTAATAATTGTGCGGTATGGTTGTAATTGGTATTATCAATTTATTTTATTTGTCATAAAATTATGTTAAGTACTTTGTAGTTTTAATGTCTGTTTATATTTGCTTATTGCACTTATATCTATAGTAAATTTATACATAGGTATAATTATGTATATTAATATTTTTTATTTTTATTTTTTTTAACAAAATTTTATATTACGCTATCTGTTACAATTAATGAACAATAAGCTTATGTGATAAAAATATAATAAAATAGACAGAAGAGACTGAGGGAAGAGATCACACATCGGAGGTACTTCAGCGTATATTAATATAATTTGTTTTATTTTTCAGTTCATTGTTAAAGGTATAGGTACCTATAGAAACTTATTATAATTTAATTTTTAATTTAATCTCCCATTAGTCGAGAATAAATGAATAATTAATAAATTTAGATTTCTAACCAAACGCTTATCGATGCTATTATTTATAGACGACATGCTCTTTCTACTTGAACACAATATAGGAAATATTATGTTTATTTCCAAACTCAAATTGAACACAAATTAGATTATGATTTGAGATAAAACTAAATGTTTGTAAATCTGTACTTTAAAATATTACATACCTAATCTTTATGAAAAATTGTACAATATCAATACTACTGAAATATTAAACAATTTATCAGACAGTTTTTTTAGGTTTCCCGCATTTAAAGTAATATCGGATATCCAATTTCTGTAAAAGTAAACAAATAGAAATCCAGATTGGAGTTGGGGACTTCCACAGTTCACTTCTTCTGGATGATGTACATTGTACACAAAGTTAGCTAATCCATATAAATATCCGTTACATATCAATGGTCCTCCGCTGTCCCCAGGACATAGATTATGAATACTTGGTTGTGAACACAAAGTTTTTTTCGATGAGAATTCTCTATTTAAAAATGAAAATTGTGTACATTTTTACCAAAGGTATTGTTGACTTGTATTCAGTACGTTTTAGGTAAAAGGTGAAACAAACACTTTTCATGACCATACATTATATTTAAGTTAGTCATATATCCAACATTTTCCCGATGCAACAATTTTTCAGTTTGTCCATATCCAATACCTATACAATTCAAGCTCTTTGCATTACTAAATTCATTAGGATGGCCAGAAATATTTATATAATGGCTCACATCCTTGAACGGATATTCTATCTAAATTTCAAATAAAATATTAGTTTAAAATATATTAAAGCAAAAAACATATTTTTTCAAATATTCGAACACAACAATTATATACCACATTAATATCATAATTTTACAACACATATCTATTTCCACACATTATGTTCTCAAAAACTATATTTGATATATTAAAAAATATGTATGTAAAATTGTATTACAGCTTATGCGTGGTGACAAAGTTTACGAATGAGTCGGGAACTCGATCGGTTATTTTGCAGTGTTGCAAAGTGTACGAATATACCAACTACAGAGTGTACAAACATAACATAAAAGTTAAGACTATCGTTCGTACACGTGGTATAGGTTATAGGTATATGATGAAATAATTAAAGTGTTCGTATTGATATGATTAAATGCCAATTTTTTAGTTGGAGCATTGACCGTGACTGATATAAAATATACCATGAGTAGGATTATTTTATTCAACTCTCAGGTGTATCGTGTATGACATACTGTATGGTAACATAACATATTCAAGACCTAATATGAAGAAGCGAATATCAACGGAGTAATAAAAAGTAGGTAGTAAACTGAGTTGGGCAGGACACGCGTGGAGATCGGTAAGGCAAATTGGACAATTTACAAAATATAAGCCAAACACAAAAATACCTAGAAAACGTCCTAGACAAAGATAGAAGGATAGAGTAGTCAAGGATCCGAAAGAACTTGGAATATAGAATGGGGAGGAACTGGCAAGAGATAGAGACCGGTGGAGGCAAATCGTTGTTGCGGCAATGGGCCTAAATGGCCTGTAAACTCCTTATTGAAGAAAGTAAGAAATGGTAACGCAACATTGTAGCGTAATACTCGTTTATTAACCTCTAGATTCAGCCAATGACAGAGCTAAATTTTTTTTTCGAAAATCACGATTCGTGGTTCACTTATTTCGTTCATTATTAATACCACGGATATTAACATTACTTAATCAAAACTAACAGAAATTCGTGTCATTATCATAGTAGTTTTTATTAGTTGTTACAAATAAGTATTTTTTTATTTATTCTACTAATTAAATATTAGTGAGAGGATTAGAATGTTAATTATGTAGAAAAAAAAGTAAATGAAAAGAAAATTAATCAAATTATGCTATATAATGAGACACTCAGATACCAATTAATGATTCAGCAAATGAATAAGCTTTGTAAAATAAATTGAAAAATTGAGTTGAAGTTTTTACATAGCCATACAGCATATACTAGTCACCAGAAATAAATTTAGATATTGTCGTATATTGTTGACAGTCGTCAGCATAATTTTAGCATAATTTTTAGCAATTAAGATATTAGAATAGGTCAAGCCTGGGAAGCTAAATGTGCTGAGGTGACAAAAATGACTTAGATATAAGACGGCCGCACGGGCAGGAACGAGGAGTCCCCGTCGTCGCCGGGTGTGTTGTCGAGAGCGTGCCATCGACGTGCACAAGGAAGAGGCGACGATTGCTGTACGGGCGACTTTTGTTTATTTAGTTTTAAAATAAAAGTATTTCCGACCCGTAAAATTATTTGTTTAATTTTTGAGTAGTCACGCAATTTGCCCTACTCTTTTCAATCCAATCTATATCACTCAAAAAGTGCATATACGACGATATTTACACATAAAAAGAATATCCCCGTGAGTCCATAATATACAGGCTCACAATGTTTTTAACTTGAACGGAGGGATGATACAAACTAATGACAGAAATAATATTTACTAAAATGCGGAGTGGATTTAAATAATTGTTGTAAACCTACCTAAATTTTATATTTTAATATCAAAAATATTTTTCTATATCTTTTATGGTTAAGACTACCTACCTAATATCTTTCTATACTTTACTTTAGTTTGTATGTATCATATCACGCTTGTTCCTTGCCTAGTTTAGTAGTGCACAGATATGTAATAAAAAAAATATGTACAATAATAAACTATTGTATCGTCAAATATAATATGTGGACCAGTGATGTTGGCGATTGACATAGGTATGGGACTGAACCAGGGGCGCCATTTGGGGGGGGGGGTGCAGGGTGTGCACTTGCACACCCTGTAATTTTGTTGTCTACTATTGGCCTGGCCTAGGCATCATTTATACTATGGCCTTCAATTTGCCAATCTTTAATTGTGTATNCCATTTGGGGGGGTGCAGGGTGTGCACTTGCACACCCTGTAATTTTGTTGTCTACTATTGGCCTGGCCTAGGCATCATTATACTATGGCCTTCAATTTGCCAATCTTTAATAATTGTGTATGCACCGCTATTCACGTCTAATCATAAGTAATATTTTAATATTATTGGGTCCTTTAATTAGATAGTTGATAATTTGATATCAGTAATTCAGTATCACTTTATTCACTGGCGTGTAAATCCTAGGTTTATAGATAATATTATAATACTATTAAATTCATAGACGAAACATTAGGTATATGATAATGCAAGTGGGTGGAGCTTGTTACAAGAATCGGGCGCTGAAATCGATTAGTTGTTATCGTATTTCATTGATTCATTCTATCAAATGATCGTTAATTATATTTCCATAATTAAACTGTGACTCTGGATAAGGCAGATATGTCCTTATCTTATGGTTTATGTTTATATCGTTTATTATTTTCGATTTTTGATTAAATTAAAAATATATTTATTAATTATTTCATAAGTTATATACTTCTAAAGTTATGTATTAGAATATTAATAATTCTACACTCTACAGTTCTATAAATTATATTTACTCACTACACTGTAGTGAAAATGGATACCAATAATAAAAGGAAAAGTGGTGCAGCTAGGATGAAAGATACAAATAAAAAAATAATTATTTAAAATCTCCACTTCTTGTAAAAAAATTGACATGTTTTCTAAAAATGAAATTAAAGCTAAGACAAATGTTGCAGTAAATCAAGTTGCTATTGCTTCAAAGAGATACAAATATTCAACTAAACTTTGATTCTATCGTATCCTCTTTATCACAACTTCCTACAGCCTTTTGTGAAACTTTAAAAATTATTTCTATACTAAAGATTCTTCCAATTACTACTGCTTCAAATGAACGATTCTTTTCATCCCTTAAAAATGTTAAAACTTTCTTATGTACTAAAATGGGAGATAACAGACTGAGTGATCTTGTGGTTTTAAATGTAGAGACAGAAGAAGCTAAGTGCGTAGATTTATATAAAGCTGTAAATGCAGTGAAGCAACGGAGATACCCGCTTAAATAATAACCTATGCTGCTATGCTTTTATAAATTATAATAATACCTATGGCATTATTTTATATTTATATATTGTATTAATGTTAACTATAAACATATTAAGGTCAATATAATAATAAACTATTATATTTCAAGTTGTTCATTATTTGCATTACGCTTTACTTTATGTTTTAGTCACAAACTTAGCTTTAAATAATGAGTTTGTATTTTCCTTTTTTTTTTTTTATACCTTTATTTCAAATATAGGTAACTATTAATAGCTAAGTATGTTTTTGACACTAAAAATTCTATATTGAAAAATTAAAAACACGAGAAACGTTTTTTTAAGGATTGGCCTGGCGGTGGGAAAAATTAACCTCTTTAATTGTTTTGCACACCCCTAAAAAAAAATGAAATGGCGCCCCTGGACTGAACCACATATTTAGATATTATTACAGATAATTATAATTATTTTATTTTCTACTAAAACATGCAGGTACCTATTATAATTATGAAAATAGGCATAATAATAATACTAAAAATTATTTTTTTGAAGTAACTGAAAGTAAGAAATTTAATTTGGAAAAATTTTGAAAAATAAGGTGAATAGAAAATGTAAATCTATATTCACTTACATGTTCTATATTATTATTAGAAATGTATAAAATATATATATAATATATAATATGTAGCTTGGAATATAATGGAATATAATAAAGCTGAAATGTAGTGGAGGTATTCAAAATGTTGGAATGTGAGGGGGTGTGGGGGGCAACATTATAATGTAGTATGTTTCAATATAATAATGTGATATATTGTTTTTTCTTCACTCCATCATAGCATTATAATATTTAAGCTTTGATTTCCGAGTAAAAATACTGTTTGAGTACAAAAATAATTTAAATTATATAATGATTGAGATAGGTGATGGATTTAAACAAAATATTATAAAATTGAACTGCCACTGAGTAACATGATAATAATATTAATATCAAAATTATTATTTGACTCATAATACAGTCATACAATGGCAGTATCCGAGTTGAGCATTGTGACTTGTGAGTGGAATAGGGGTACCCTCTGCACCATTACTATAACAAAGGTTGTGACCAGTATATTATTGCGTGGATGACTATTTTTTCAGGATTTTCGAGTGCAACTATTTTTTATATTATAATATACCTATAGTTTTGTGTAAAATAAGATAATTATCTTTTATTGACTTATATTTTTGGCTTGCTTTTTCTTACACCATCCAAATTTGCAGGTTTCGATATTATGTCGACTCAGCTACAGAATTTAAACATTCAAAAACTTTACAATTATTTCTTAGAAACATACATTGCTGACTGCACTAAATTTCCACAAACTGTTTGGAATTAATTGTCAACCTCTGTTGCGAGAACGATACACAATTATCGTGAGCCGTTTGACTTCAAATGTAATTACATGTAGTTCTATGTTCAATAAATCTCACCCTAATATATTTACATTTATTGATGTCCTCATTGACGTGCAATATTTGGTTTATATTGAAATTAGCAGTTCAGGGAAACAATCAAAAGAAGCAATATTACAGCAATTGTTATTGGACAAAGAGGGTCAACTTTGGAAAAATGGCAACTACAGTTAAGTTCACTTACGTTTTCATGTATTGTCTACATTTAGCACCTTATTACAAAAAAAAAGTATTTGCCGAATCATAATTATTGTATAATTATACTACAAGTTTTATATTTATGTAAGCATCTGCCATAATATCATAAATATATTTTAGATATATCAATTTAAAAATAATATTTTTAAGCAGGCCAGGATTCTCTGTCAGTCTAAAGTCTGGGTAAAATGTTATGGAAAATGTTAATTTCATTCATAATGAAAGGCGAGTGAGTATCCTGGAAAAATAGCCAGCCGTGAATGCAAGTGCAGATAACGGGACTTAAGATAAAGGCTGCGGCCAGCCCATACGATGTTTCACTTAGCTTGACGATATTTTTTCAGGTAAATATTTAACTGGGGCTCTCTAATATTCCTGATTGTACGTGCAGACTTACCCTCAATAAACTAATATCATTTTTTCCTGTATAATGATCATATGATTCGTGTTGATAAATGGTTTTAACATATCTCTTAAACTTTATCCTTGTGTTAATATATCGGTACACCTAAAACGACAACCATAGAAAAACAGGACTATTATAATAACAAGTAATAAATATAAAGAATTTATATTTATTGTATCATATTTTAAGTATTTTTTACCACTATATCATACTTATCAACTTTGTTTGTGCAATGTGCCGCGGTTAATACGAATAGTGGTAAAATCAACGAGCCTGTGCACATGCCACGTTTTCCAGAATTTATTTTATAATCAAAGTAGACCATGAATGGATATTTCTGGATATCAAACAATTGTCCGTGAGATACTAGCGCTTTGTTTTCATTGTTTAACACTTTAGGTTCTATTATTGCTGTCTTTGCTACTATATATTTAATCAATAGGAATACAACAATCAAGACTTTTTGCATGGTGTTCAAAATAAAATTTTACTCATGTATTATTCAACTAAAACTGCAATTATATAATATAATGTATTGATTGCGAGTTATTTTCAAAACACCATCACCTAAGCAACAAATTGTATCCAGTTAAATATCAAATTAAGCACCTTACTAACTTATGTAGTTATGTACATGTATAATTATTGAACACTTGAAACATTCCAAAGCTATGTCCGGAAGTAAAAAAAGGTAAACAAGCCTTAATATGTAAGTACGAGTATAATTATGTTAAAACCTGTATGATTCTCCACCACATTTATAATTGCTGGAGGATGAAATCAGTTATATACGACATTTAAATTACTCTATTATTTTCCTTCAAATGTTAGGAGGAATCGGCAGTGGTGTTGCCAGGGTGGTTCGGATGTTTACTCTCTAACCAATTTCATAATCCTCCCTAAGCCACTGAATGTGGTGATGAATTTATCAAATACACACTATTATACAATTGCATGTACAATGTATATATGATGTAATATTATATGTTATATGCATATGTATATTTTACATGACTCGTAGCGGCCGTATGCAATAAGTCTATACATTGACAACAACTGTTTTAACTGTTTTATGGAACACCAATGGACTCATACAAGAGAAAAACCATACTCGTGCTATATATGTGACAACTGACAAGACGTTGTATCTAAGTGGCAAACTGATGATCCACCAGTTTACTCACACGGGAGATTAACCTGTTTGATATTTATATACGAGCCAGCTTACAAGCTTTCACAGGTGGACGATGAGTCACGGTTTAAACCTGACATACCAGAATACAGGGGTAGTCATGCTTATGAGAATATGCGCATACATGATACATCCCTCCTCGACTCCCAACCACTGACACCAGACTATCCTACGGGAAACATGTTGAGACCATACCTAAGGAAAGCATCCCAGCATTGGTCCAGGCAAGATTAATGTCCAACATCAGCGAAACCATTGAATGGAAGAGGAAGCTGCTCAGAACAGTGGTCGAGATCCAACTCTTGTATGCTACTACAGTTTGGGCAAGCACAGTCAACGCCACAGCCAAGAGTAGGACGAATTTTCGAAGGCAACAAAGATCCGCTCAATCAGAGTCATATATCAGTTTACATAACCGTCTTCAATGAAACAGCTTTCCTCCATTCTGATGTATCACCTGTTGATCTCCTCGCCTCGGAGAGGGAGCTACAGGATTTATCTTCGGGTTTCTTAGGGATTTCAGCCTGGAAATCTTCCTCCTTCCCGAGGGAGGATCAAAACCACCGAGTGCCACATCAATATCAGGGAGTGGCACAGGAGGTGGATCCTCTCCATTCAGAATTCCTGGACTCACCATCTCATTCCAGACGCCGTCAGGTTGGAGCACAGAAGGGTACCTATGGTCCCGTGGGCATACCACATGACTCAAGCACTAACGGGGCACAAGTGTTTCCAACACTACCTTCATTGTTTGGGCAGAGCCATTAGCCGAGTATGAATGCATTGCCCTAGCATGTCGTATTCGTATAAGGTGATGCTCACGCTTCTCTAGTGTCGGAACTGGGACGGATTAAAAGCCGAGTTCCGTACATATCTGAGTCACCCTACTAAGGTCGACCATATTATGTTGGGCATTCTCTATTGGCCCGTCTTTGTACACTTGCTGGCGAACCACCTTGCCAGGAGATCGAAGAGTTTTTCAAGATCTTCTTTATTGACTATAAAATGGTAGAGAAGATCCTGACTCTCAAGGAAGAAAAAGAAAAAATACGTCAGGAGGCCGTGCCTGCTACTCCCAATCAAGCATGATTTGCCGGAGTGGAGGAATAGATCAGTCAGTTAGAGATTTCTAGGATAGGTGGGTTAGGGGGTTCCGAAATCACTTCTAGAAGAGGCTATTGTTCAAAACGGTCTTTCGTTAACCATAAAGAATCATATAATCTGTAAGGGGATAAGGCAGGGCATTCTTGTCTATTAATTTCTGGTTTAACCGATTGTTCACAAATTTCGCATCCTATGGATCACATATCACGAAAAATGAAAATAAAAATAAACTCATTTACTTATTTATTCACAGAATAAATCTGTGAACTGAACTGAACTGATGTTCTTGTTTTACGTTTATTTTATAGAGAATTTCAATCGTATAACTTAGTGGAACATTAAAATAAGTACATGACGTCTGTTTTCTTTTTCGAAGTATATATATTATTATATACATTTTCCACTTCTATTTTTATTTTACGTGATGCGTGATCCATCAAATGGGAAATTTGTGAAGAATTGCCTGAACCAGAAAGGAATAGACGGCATACTGTGACATTTTGGTATATTTTTAACTTATATTTTACTAGAATGATGGTGCCACTGGTGTATTTTAAAATTGTATTTTGTTGAACAGATAGCAACACTATTGTATTTTCACCATTCAGATTTCCTACTTTTCCATTGAATTTTAATACAATTTCAAACTAAATATAGTTAAAATTATGAACGTTTCAAAGACCCAGATCGAATAATTTTTTATATTAAAATTATATTATTCAAAGTGTTTCTATGCATCCAAATAATGGATTCTCTTTTATGCACCAGTTCTATTAATTATTATGTTATAGATAATTCAAATATCATGTTTCTTTAATTATTTCTAATTGTACTTTATAGTTGGTTAAATTTATATTGCTTGATGTACAATTATTACTAAATGAAAATGAATTAATAGAAATATTCAATTGGTATCTATGTGTAATCCCATCGAGTTTTGGTTGCAGGTACTTCCAACCAAACAAATTTCAATTACAACTAATTAAACATCAGTATGTACTATGTAGTATGTCATAATTATTCCAAAAATAGTTTTAAACTGGTAAGATTTTGTGTATTAAAAAACCCACCAGTAAACTAATTGTAGGTAAGCATTATACTCTTAGTTCCATAAAGTTTAATTTGTCAATAACATTTTACATATAAAAGCTAGTTACCTAATTAGATTATTTAATAATATATATTTTTAATTCACTTTAAACTACACTAGTTAATATTGTTTTACAATTTTCAGTTCCAAATATTATTTATGCAATTAATATTTTCTAATATCATCCAAAAAAATTAAATATTTGTATTTTTTTTATAGATTTGCTGTAAATTAAATAATATAACGTACATTAGAGGTGACATTTTTTATTTATATTCATAATATTATGGCATCACTGTCTTTAATATGCACTGTTACAATCCTATTGTTTTATATGAAGAATATTATTTTATGTTAAAAACTAATTACTTTTATTAGATTATATTAATATATGTAATAATATAATGTACCTTAAAATAAAAACTTAATAAATATTTTGTGTTACAGTTCCTAATATATTTCTTTCATCATTTAAATTTAATCCATTCTTAATTGAATGCATACCTATCTGCTACTTATAATATTTGAGAACTATTTTCCTTACACTCACATCATGTTTTTTTAAAAACCTAACCTAACTATATTTATATCATATCTATATTTTCCCCGATATAAACCAGTTGAAATAACTTTTGTTAATATTTGAATAAAACATTATAAAAAAAAAAATTAAATTTATATTTAACTAAATGATCACCAACAACCTTCTATTTTACCGACAATGCATTAGGTACGTGTATTAAAGAGTAAGTGCATTATATAAGTCCTTAGGTAACCTATTAGATATTCATATAGGTACAATGATTTTATCTAATATGAAGAAATAGACACTTAAATATTTGTTGTAATAATATAACACTTAAATTAGTCGCTTTAATCTGATAAAATAACCACTTATAAATTCAGATAAACAAAATAATGAAATACGTTGTTATGTGTTACAATATGATTAGTTTTCTGGTATATCATCGTCCATAAAGTTCACTACTTAAATAATTAGTTTTGTGATAGTTTAAACACTAAATAAAATGGTAAATATTTATGTTAAAGAACTATACTTGTGATACATTTCAATATAATACACATAAAATATATCATACCTTTATATAGGTACTGAATTATAGAGGGTGTGTAATTTAACATAAAGTTTTGGGTAAACGGTGCTTGAAGTTAATAGCTTAACAGCCTAAATTAAAATTATGAACTATGTTTGTAGGAGGTCTTAAAAAATATTAAACATCACTTTTATCAAATTTAAATAATATTTCAGATATTATAAAATATTAAACTTGAATTTATGTTTTTTAATTTTTTCAACCAAAACCATTTAATTCAAAATACCAAGTTGGTATACCTGTATAATTCATATATGGTTATTTATATAAGTTCTAGTAATTTAAAAGGTATTTCAACTTTCAGGATGTGAAAGAGCTCTGTTTCTATGATGATCATCAGAACAATGGAAATGGGCTATCGGATCAAGGCAAGTCAACAGCTGATTTTAATGGAGAAACCACAATAAATGATGACTGTTATGTGAATAAAGGATTTAATGATTCAAATAGTCTAAAAGAAGAATTCTCCAATAAGGTACTGTCAAATTTGACAACTATAATATACCTATATTATAATATAATTTTATTTCTTTAAATTCAATAATTTTTATTTGTGAATTAATTCTAATTCTACTTATTTGTATACCTTGCATTTAATTTAAATATTTGATTTGATATTTCAAATGTTTAAGTCTTATATTATATTGGAAAAACTTCAACAAATCTGCTTATTGTTTTTATTGGTGTCCACTTCAACAGTATGGCCTGGCCAATATATCATTCATATATTATATTCATTTGTATTTTCTATAGTTTATACTGTTAAAACTGTATAACTATTACAAAAAATAAATAAATTAAGATGAATTCACATAATAGACATAGTTAGGTACCTGTATCAATTAGATTAAATGGTATACACAATAGGTAAATTTATTATGAAGGTACCTATACTTTTATATGATTGTAATTCAACAATCATGCTCTGAACCACTTCCTAACCTCTTCAATCATGTATTCGTTACAATTTTAGAATTTTAAATACATTTTTTTACCAAATTTAAAAATAAAGTTTGAAAAAATAACTTTTTATCGCCACAGGACTCCTTAAATTTCATACAAATTCTTGATGTTTGGGAATAATTTTCTCCTTACTCCTTAAGTAGTCTTTACTTAAGAATCCCAAAAATCTAATATAGGTGGGTAATGAAAAATGCTATTGGTTAATCACATTGTAGTTACACATATTATAATATACTATGAATATTACCTAGGTTCATGAAGTTAGAATATGGAAAATAGACTACTGGCGTCTGGCCGTAGTAGTAAATTGTAATAATAATATTAATGATAACAATATTCGAATTCAGATTACCTACCTAATATTGTTTTCATTGATGAGTAACGACTTACGTAAAATGTTTTAAATTATATGATTAAAAGCGTATTTAAAGTGTTTTCAACCACTAGAATTATTGCACCTATCGGCTGCCACAATGATAATTTCTCTAAGTACCTACTTTATGTATTGTTTATCTTTAAACTGATAACATCACGCTCAGGAACTGATAACAAAGCTGAAAGTGCAAATAATAAAATGCATCGATTTGTATGGAATTGAAAATATTTTTAGTTTTATAAATACTGCAGTATTGTAGCAATAGTCACTATTGCTGTAAATATATGTAGGACGTAGGTATACACTATTTTACTTTTATACATTTAAAATGAAATAAATTATAAATATATAGTATAACAAAATAATACATTTTAACATAGGTACTATAAAAAAATAATATACCTATTTAAGAATTAGCTATAAACCATAGACGCATAATAAATAATTATCAATCTATAATACCTAATATTTAGAACATAGATTTTAAATAATTTATGTATCTACATAATATTATGTAAATTAAATTTGTCTTATGATATCTATATGACTATATAGGTACCTAGCTATGTTTGTAGACTGTAGTAGTATTAAATTATATCTAATGGAATAGGTAGGTACCTATATTTGTGTTATTGTGGTTTAAATTAAATGATGCTCGGAATATTGGTAGGTACGGTCCATACAATTTATAACAAAAGAAATGAAAAACGATGAAAACTGGTACTATTCAACATTTAAATGTCAGCGGGCCTAAAATATTTACAATGCTTAATATAATTTTGATAAATCACCATCGTCAACAAGTAAAATTTACATGATACTTAAAACAAAAAAATAATGTTAGCAATCAAAATGAACAAAAAACACAAATAAGTACATACAAAGTAGTCGGCAGGTAAAATAAGTATAAAATGTAGGTACAATATAATATAATATAATTTATGATTAATAATAATTATTTAGTATATTTTTCTATATTATTTAAAAATTGTCCCATTTTAATTTCTTTATTTAAGAAGTTCTCACATTCGTTGTGTAGCTTGTAAGTATTTTTTTTTCATTTTATCCTCTGTTCGCATATAATCATATAACTAAATCACAGTCACTAGTGGTTTACCATCAATCGTCGGTAAAATAAAACTAAAAATAATCGTTGATATTTTATCCCTTTATTCTCATAAAAGTTTGGGAAACCTTGACTATTGCGGACCGTGCCAATATTCCGAGTTTATAAAGAGTGTACCAGTTTTCCGTTTACCAAATTAAACATACAGTCGATTTTTCAAACAAAATATTATCAATTTCTAAGAAATGTTATAACATACATTTTTAATATTGCAATATAACGTATTACAAAAATTAATTCAATATGATATAGATATATAAATTGATTTTGATTAAAGTCCAAAATTATTTATATTTTATATTATATTTAATTTTTAATTGACAATAGGTACCTTGTAAACTGTAGTATGATATTTTTAAACATTATTATATTAATGATATCGATAAGTATACTGTATGCTTGAGTTATTTTCAAACAGAGATTGTAAATAATTTGCATAACATAAAACAAAAAGCATTTTGAATGTCCTAAACTAAATTTGTCAATAATGTGAGTATTCACTATTCAGTTCAAAATTGGGTTTGTAATTTTTTTGGTTAACAAAAAATAAAATATTATATCATACGATTTTCAACTTAAATTTCAAATGGACATTCCTAATATGGATTACGATCAACATAGACAAAAAAAAAAATGCAGTTTCAGAGATTTATATTTTTGATTATTATTGATTTATTATTTTTAATTTAGGGTGTGTTTTACCAAGAAAAATATGCGATTAATATACGTAAAAATATAATATATTAAGATGTATAGAATATTGGACCAATTACGTAAATGAATATAATTACAAAATAATAAAATATATTTATCATTAGATTATAAATCATTAAATGTTATTAAATCTTTCAAAATATATATCAAAAATTGTCGACATTTTTATTTAGGTACCAGTGAGGTTTTGAGTTCTAAGTAATTATCTACCAACATTCAGTTAAACGACATGGTAACAGAATTTAATTAGTTGCGTGAATCTTGATGAAGTTTTTATTGGAGATGGATTTATCAAGGATGTGCAAGTTAACTAAATCGTTTTACTTCATAAATTGTGTTATCACATAAAATGTAGTTAAATTTAAAGTTATAAGTGACTTTTGTTTATCTTGTAAAAGTCACATTTTAATTCGAAAAATAATTAACTTAACTTAGGGGGGGGGGGAGAGAGGTCATGGACACAATGGATATTGAACAACAGTGAGCCCTCTGGTTTATAGTAGGTGCATTCCCTATAACAGGGATGGCAAATCCATGGCACGCGTGCCCGGGGTGGCACGCGAAAAGATTTTATGGGCACGCGAAAATGTTTGTTATTATACATTATATAATATATATAATATTATAATTTATAGGTAATAGGTAAAAAGCTTACGGCCTTTATCAGCCATTAACGATTAACTGATGAATGCAGTGCCGCGTGTACTTTATTAAAATGTACTTATTATAAACTAAACATCAACGAATTGGCATCAAGTGTTCAACAACAAAAATCACATCAAAATAAATAATTAACAAAGCAATATTATTATGATTATTATTATTATGTACCTAAACTAACCTTTTTATACTAATACATTAATGATACAGTCAAATTATAGCGTAACAAAATATAATATTTTTTCATGGCATGCTCTAAAAAAAAAGCTAATTTTGGGCACGCGGTGTTCAAAAGGTTTGCCATCCCTCATCCCTGCCCTATAATATATGTATAATGGATGTATTATTATCTATTAATTGGCCCCGGGCCCAAAATTATTTTAAACCGGGCTTGGGTGTAGTTTAATTGTCCACATAGTTAATAATAAGAAAAACGAGGGGTACATCTCTCTCGCCTAAAATGTGGTCCTAGTTGATCGACTTGTACCTTTGCCTTAATGTCGTATCATAGCGTATAAAGTAAAAAATTTAAAAATAATGACTGATGTCTTATCTATGTTATAATTTATAATATGAATAACAAATTACTGTTAATCGTCATTAAAAGTTAAAGTCCATCTTATTTATGTTACAGATTGAGGAAGATCCAAATCAACTATCTAAAAGTGTGATTATAATTTCTGATAGACCTCCATTGACGACGCAAGATGGGTACGTCAATAATGCATTCGAAGATGGTCCTCAGAAAGCAGATAAGGTGAATGATAAACATAACGTGCGTATAAATATTAAACAATATAATCTCCATTCATCCACTCAGTAAAGTATAATGTTACGATTATATCTAAATCGAGCTATCGAGGTTTTTAATATCCAAAGAACTTATTACCTAATGAATAATATTTTAATTAAATACATTTTACATCATATTATTACTTATAAATTGCATACCATAATTCATATTAACTATATTAATGGTAAATATTGATTAAGGTATCTATTTTATCAGATTTTATTTTTTACTCATAAGTAAATGATATTTTTATTGTTTTATGAAATTATTGATACTTAATTATTAGGTAGTTGTAATTTTATTATTTAATGCTAAATACTAATTAAATAGTTATTTAATTGTTTGATAACTCGTCACTTTAAAATGTATTAATATAGTATCAATAAGAAATAGTTGTCTTGCACTTTGGATCAAATTCGGGAAATATAAGTGCCATAATTATAATATTATAATATGCCATAATTATTTTCATAATAAAGAAAATAGCTTGTTTGTATAAACTGTTAGTTATAAAGTATATTATAGCGATGTAAATAAGACATTTCTGACTTTCAGAAAAGATCATGTATTTTCTTAAAACATTCAAAAAGGTATATTAAAAAGCATCATACATAATGCCTACTATATCTTCAATCATAAAAAAATGTATTTTAAAATGTAGGAAGTGTTATAGGACTTTCTAATTTAGAAGTAAATAATAATGAAACAACCTAACAAAATATTTTATAATCTGAAAAATAACTTGCTAATCCGGTTCTGTATTAATTCTCACTATACAATTCTTACAAAATACCAGTATAATATGACAAAGCTATATACTTAATAAAACATTTTACAGTAAAAAATTCGCTCATAAAAAATGTATAGACTTTCTCAGTCCCGGAAAATTCTCCCAGACGTTCAAATCGCAAATGGTGTTGCAATATTCTAAATAATTAAAAATATGTATAACCTAACCTGGAATAAGATGGTTTTTCTAACGTGCATCATCTTCAGTTCGAAGCAGGTCGAGGGTGGTGTCCCTCAAAATCCCTTCCACAAGGGTTGCATCAGATAACGGGAAACCTATGCACACAGTACAACAATTCCGTTGTATATACTAGTTTAAACTGGTGAGAAAAACAGACTGTTTGTCAAACCAATCTCTGAAAGTTGAAAAACTAAACAATCAGCAGACATTTAAAATGAAACAAAACTACTCTTATCATTTGCTTTTTGTTTTGTTCTTATCCCAACGGATTTTAAATACTATTTAAAAAAAAAAATTCTGAAAATTCTTATAAAGTTTGAATTAAGAATGTTCATGTATTGATTTAGTTTTAAAAATTATTAACTCTTGGACATTTCTAGAAATTTCCTCATACACACTTCTAAAATCTAACATTACTATAACCAAGACACGAGAGTATAATATAGAATAATATTAAATAATGATAATAATTCATATTTATGTGTAAAATGACTGTTTATTTTAATTGGGTGCATTTCAATTGTCGAATAAAAAAAAATCCAAATATTTTATATCATAGTTAAGTTTTCTACAGATCATTACACAAAATTAGTATTTAATTTGAGATTCTAATGGGAATGATGAACGAATTGATTTTACAATTGTGTATGTGTGTTTTTTTTTGTGTAACCATAGGTACTTTAAATTTACGCCAAATTATTAAATGACAATTTTCCCTACATGGTTTCCAAATACTTCGACTGTTTTTAAGCTATTTATAGCCGTGGCAAATTTTTCATTTTAGATTCTGAGCGTAATTCTTTAATCTTAAAGCTTCTTGACCCACATTTTATTGACATTTATTGAAAACAAAACCGAAAAAATTGCCCGTTAACAGTTCAAAACGAGCCAAAATATTTGAAAATTTTATTGTGTAGAAAATACTTGTACAAACATCCAGTAAAAATTTCATGTAACCAGTATTTTTTTTTTTTTTTGGCGTTACGCCACAAACCAAAATCGATTTAATCAAAAACTGCTTAAAAATTCCCGATTTTCCTTAAACACTTCAATTCCTTGCTTTTGAAAACTACTGAGAATTTAAATTTTCCCGACCACCACACCAACTAGATTTATCTTCCTACCACAAGAGATAATGAAATTGAAGCATTATTTTTACTACCTATCGTGTACGGTGTACACCGTCACAAAAAAAAAAAAAAAATAACAGACATTGTAAATTCAATATATTCATTGCTCCGCTCAGAATTTAATAAAATAAAATGTAAAATGTAATTATGTAAAACAAATTATTTAAATACCATTTAATATAATATACATATTATTTTATTGTAAAATATAGGTACCAAGTAATAAAGAATAACACCACCTTTGCTCAGAATCTTATTAAGGGTGTCGATGCCGGTTTTTGCAATTTTCCGCAATTCTATGACATTTGAAAATGATATTTTATATTTTAGTTATTTCCAGGGCTCGAAAACGTTTACACAACGTTATGATTATAACGTTATACTAGTAAAAAAACGATTGAAATAGATAACTGCAGAAAACAAAACGGTAAACGGTAAACAGTAATATTAAATTATCATTAAACAAAACGTAGCAATAAACGACAATTTTAGTAAAACAAAAAACAAAACAAAACGATAAACCAATAACTTACAAAATTATGAAACAAAACATAACAGAAAACACAGAAAATCGTAATTTGATAAACGATCACTTAACGTTATAGTTTATTTTCATAATTTTTACGTATTACGCTTATAATATTAATTAAATAATATTATATTAATATAATGAACATTGACGTTGTAGAGAATTTCAATAAGATTGAATTCCACCAATAGCTTATGACATTCTATGTTTTTAATTTATTTTTAAATTTGTGTCCGGTTATATTGTGTGGATATGCAGGTATAATGCAACATGTTTATTTGTATTCGGAAATCAGTGAAATCGAAAGTCGCCAATTTAAAAATATAATAGTAAATAAATGTTTAAAATAACAGAAAATTCAGAAAATGTTACTTCACATTTCAGGAACCAATCGGAATAATAGTTAGAATCATAATTCATAGCTATAAAAGTATTAACTATAAACAACTAAGATCATGAGTAAGATATACCTACTGGAGCAATATTATTTTTATTTATTGATTATATTTATTGTGATATCTAGTTTTTCTTGTACATAGTTATTGATTAACATACAGTTTACAGAATTTTAAGCTTTCCTTTTTTTTTGAAAACGGTACTTAGACTGTAACTACTGAGGTATACAGTATGTTTTTTACCCAAACTGTATCAATTATATGTATCAATTTTATCAAGGTTACACAGCTTAAGTTTTGTGTCATTTTTCCTGTTAGATATCAAAATAACTTTTAAACCTAATGACAAAGTGATTTCTTATGTTATAATTTAAAATATAAAAATATGGGCATTTCTTTGTCTAAATAAAAAATTGAATAATTTTTGTCTTCCTTTTTTAGTTAAGAATGCACTACATGTCTACATCGCACATATATTGTTTCTGAAAATCTACGTAGATAACAAAATTACATCCAGTACTTAAAAATTTTTAGTTTAGTGGATTAAACAGCTGTAATGTGTGAAATTTGGTATATACTTCTGGTTTTATGTTTAAATTAAATTAATATTAAACATCGACAATAGACGTAATATTGAAAATGTATATTTACAGTTATAAACTATTGTTTATAACATTATTTTAATTGTGAAAATGTAATAGGTACTACATCATGTTTTAATTTTTAATGGTGTTAAAAATTTGAATGTAAAAATGAAAACGTTTTAATTTCCAATAACGACAAACAGAGTATTTGAATAACGTTTAAATTTCCAATAACGATAACCGTAAAAATATAATAACTTTTATACTGCCAATAACAATGAACATATTATAAACAATTTATAACGTCTTAATTTTAAGCAACGTAAAACACAAAAATTGTTTAACGGTTTAATACTATAAATAACGTAAAACAAAATTTTTTTCCAAATTCAAGCCCTGGTTATTACTACATTAATTATAATACTTTTCCAATAATCGACTGCCCAATACCTATTTAAGATGAGTTGATAATGTGTATATCAATGAAAATTACTTCATAGGAAAACTCTCCTGCCTAAAAATAGTTACCTATATCGATGATTGTCTTCATACTTTGTTTTCGTATCTTATATGTGTTGATTTGTCTAAACAGGGGACGGTGCCACGGGCACATGACGTCACTGCCATTACTTGCTCTACAATAGAGAACCAAATTACAAAACTGGATGAAGACAATAATGGATTGGTGGCCGTTAATTTGGAAACGAAAGAAAAGAAGTGGAAAGTACAATCTGTCGGATGGGATTCAAATAAGAGTATAATGCTTTTGGGTTTGGTATTGGCTTTTGATGTATGGGCAGCAATATTTGTTTGTTTTAAAACAAACCTATTCCCAAATATTTTGAATTAAATTAGTACTGGTATCTAATGTATTCAATAATAACTATCACGTTAAATTAATAAAATTTTAATATCTATACGATAATTGTATACTTAAAATAAATTAAATGTTTTTTACATTTTAATTGTTTATTTTAATAATCTACTTCAATAAATTGTAATAGGATATTTAAAAAATGAGTTAATTATTATGAAATTAAGGTAAATTTTGCATATTGTCTAATTTTAGAGGTTATAAATGTTAGTACTTGGTAGATGTATTTAGATTATTTAGAATATTTTCAACTGAAACCATTAGACAATTTAAAATCAATCCCCACTTAAACATTGCGTAGCGCATTATCGTATGTTTGGAGAGATTCCTAGATAAATATTATGAATGTAAATATGTAAATAATACAATTAACACAGCCACGAAATATCTAGTTATATCAATTCAAAAATATTTTAATAGACCACTTTAAAATTCAAAATTATTTAAGTAGCAAATTTAAATAAATCAATACATTACGACATTGTTCACTTTGAGTGGATGTTATTAATATAGATACTCATAAAATCAATTCTTTTTTTGATAAACTGCTGAAAATATTGAATTTATTTTTTCCTCAAATTAATAGCTTTCATACTGTTCAAAATGTTAATAATAAACTTAACAAATAATTAGAATAATAGTTGATAATGGTTTGGGGGGCTTAAGTCTCAACTAAAATTATTCTTTTGTAATATACTAATTACTAGTAACTAGAGCAAGGGTTTCAAGTAAAATTAAATTTTTTCTGAATATTTTAAAACATTGCTGTTGAATCTCAAAATTTGATTCTTACACAAAATAACTTAAGATATTTATTTTTTTTTTTTGGAAATTTTGGTTAGGAAAATGGAGGCGACCATTTTTATATATGAGCAATTTTTTAAAATATTTTATAAGAAAATACAAGTCTTGATGACAATTATTTAGGTTAAATGTTAAAACTCAAAAAATTATATACTAGCTAGAAACGTATTATTTATTTTACTTTATAGTTATATTATTTTTTTTTACGTAGTTTTTAGTTATACACCAAGCAAAGCGGTTGGGATGTATACTGTATTACTGTACAATACGGTCTGAAAAACCATATGATCGTCCTATATGTAGCCAGATAAGTCCACATAAATCCTAACCAATCACAAATATATAGAAGTTGTTTTATTTAGAAAACAATAAAATTCATAATTATCACATTGATATATTTTATCTTAGTCATTTGTACTAAAAACTATGTTAGAAGCAAATTTTTTAAAAAAATTTTAAAATGCTGTAACAATATTATTCATGCATTAAATATTATATTTCTTACAACGTATTTCTTGATTTTAGAGTATTTAAATTCTCACCCTCTAATGAACTTGTTTTGGACTGTTATAAATACCTTAATACACAATTTTTTATACACTGGTTAGGTTATTTCCACTGTCTCTTTCTCTCATACAAATGTTATGTATACGCCACTGCAGCATGTACAAGATAATATAATGATGGTAAATTGTACACATTTTGCACAGAAAAATTAATTTATATTCGTGAGAGATGATTACTCACTATAAAAATATAGCATTCGCCATTTTCAAGCACAATAAGAACATCATAGGTAACTAAAAATGTATACTAAAAAATGTAAAATTAACATGAACGTGTTGCTATAATAGCATTAAAAAAATATGTGAGTTAACTCGTAAAACAATTAGTGAATTAGGTACAACTGTACAAGGGAAATGTTGGAGGGTCAGTGTATAAATTATTATAAACATTGCGCTAACTAACTCTAAGTCCTGACAAAATACAGACTTTCATTTCGAAATAGAATAATAATAATAATAATAATAATAATAACATTCATGTGCGACGTGCAGGAATTTATATTTGTACAGTGATTTGATTCATATAATATGACAATAATATTACTCATGTACCAGAAAACATACAATCTCTTTGTTTATGTGTACCGCTCAAACTTTACATCATGTTCCAATGATTATATTTTATTAAATCCTTCGAATATTAGGGTATCTATCTATACATGACGAGTATCAGGAGCGTATCTTATATTATATAGTGCAGATTCATCATTTTAGATTATATAATGGCGGATCACGGATGAAATGATTTTGAACACTGAAATTAGAAAACAGCCAAGTATCTTATAATATAAATGTTACGTACTACAATTATGAACGTTCGATGGACATTATTAGGTATGTTAATTCAAAAGAAAAGAATCAACATTTTTTTTTCATTGATTCAAAGTTTTCTTGAAATTGAAGAGAGGCGCATAAAGGTATAATTAGGTACATACTACCTATTACATAATATTTCATCACTAGATAACATTTTCATAGATTGTATTTATTTATCTTACGTTAAAAGAATATTGTTATAATAATTTTGTATAGGTACATTATACAGAATAGGTATAATAAATTACTATAATTTACTTATTATTATATCTTTTTGATCTTATTTGTTAGGTAGTAATTATGGTCATTATGGTTTGGTGAAACTATTTTGCCTTTAAGAAAAATGTATACTTGTTGGTAACAGAATAGACTTTTGAGTGTTTTCAATGAGATACTTCATTTTTATTTCTACTGGCACTTGGCAGGAAAGAGGGGTAAATTTACAATTCATATTATATAATATGATCCATGGAAAACAAAAGTATAATTATGCAATTTATCCCTCCCACTAAAATTAACACTTTTTATATTTTCTTTTTATGCGTATTTTACATTTGAACTCATTTAGGAATGCGCGCAAACAATATTATTATTGAGGACTTAGATTCCTCAAAACTCTGTGAAGTCTCAAAATCTTGTAATTTATCAGGTAAGTGTCTTATATATATATATATTACGTATATCATTGTTTTTTCTTATTGTATCATTATTTACTACAATTATCTAACAATAGGTCTCTTATAGTAGTCTTATTATTACTATTAAACTCTAAATCAGTTGTCACCGTTATCATAATTTAAGTATGTATGTCAATACTATATAATGGTCCCAAAGTAAAGAATTAAGACTTCAAATAGCATTTTAATTATTTTTAAAGAGAAGTTCATTATTTGTTTTTTGTCTTCTAGCCCAAGTGAAACATAGTAAAACTGCTTAAAGCAGAATAAATACTGTATTGTTAGCTTTAATATTAGATCTTTTTATACAAATATTTAGTATCAAGAAGATACTACTGCTACGACAGCCACCACTGAACTTAATTAGTAATTGACTAGTTTTATTGGTTTAATGAACAAGAAGTACATGCTTTTTAGTAAAAATATTACTCGTAAATTGTTTAATAGTAAAATTTGTAAGTGAGTGTTTTTGCAGTGCTGTCACAAAGATTTATGATTACGTAATACCGTATTGTTTATTATCATGCACTCGTTCACATGGCTCGCACGTACGAACTTAAGAAATTGTATTTTATTGATATCTTTAAAAATTGTCGATGTATTAATATCTCCCGGAGAAGATTGTTAGGTTGTGATGTCGTACGTTATCTGCCAAGCTCATTTTTAAATAGTATGCCTTCTACCCAAAATTCACTGCATACATTTGGAAATTATTTTATTTATTTATTTTTTATTTATCATTTAAATCCCTGTTGGCCCAGCTTAGCAATAAATTAATAATTTGAAGTAACGCATTAAAGACGAGAATGTTGATTCTAATTAATAATATAAGGACAAGAAAGAACGAAACAAAAATAAAATTGTACCAGATAACAGTCGTTACATTGTAGTTGGTGGGCTTATGTAGTGGATTATGTATAAATAGCTAACTCATTTTCCATCATTGCCTTAAACAATTTGATTGGCAACTTGTTTACCTAATTTTGTAGTTAATAATATTTTATAAAATGTTTAATTTTCGTAGATAAAGATTGAAAAATTAATACAGAGTTCATCATAAGTAGAAACTATAATCAAAAAACCCAAAAGAAAAGAATATGAATATAATGTGTATTTACATTTGAAGTTTAAATTTGGGCAAAACCGTAGTAATTATATAATTTATTAATGAAATTCTCTTAAGAGAATGACGGTTTCATATTTTGATGTAATTTAAAAATATTATTTGAGGTCTTATAGATACTTGAATTATTTAATATGAAAATTGAAATGCAATGTTTTTGCTAAAAATTAATTAAATTTACCGTATTATTTTTAGCAAAATAAATTACTTTACTAGCGATATAAATATATCATAAAATATATTCAACCATCTTTGTTCAGAATCTTTTTTTCGTATATAAAGATTTACCATTTAATTCAAATTTAAGACACAAAAACATTACGATGACTATTATTTTCATCAATTCAAGAGGTACACTCGATTCGTACCTAATTTACATCAGAGCAGTCGCCTACTTTGTAGTTTTTTGTGGCTACTAACACATCAATCGTCATATTCTGTTACTTACTAGATCAGTGATCAGGGTTTTTCCATAGATAAATCTTTATACTCGAGTTATTAAAATATAATGCATTTAGTAGGTAGGTATATACATTATTTTAAGCGGTCTACCCAAGTTGCTTTACAAAGAAACTACGATGTCGATCACTGAAAATTAAATGGTTTCAAAGAAAAGGACGTTATTTGGAAGGCCAGCGATCGAGTAGAATTATTCTTGTTAAAAAAATAAAAACTGTAGTCATTTTTGCTACTCTGAATATTATACAAAAAATAATGTGATAATAGCGAATGGATTTTTAGTATACATTTGAGAATATTTATTTGAAACTTACTTTGTTGTTGAATCTTGATATATTTCAAATAAAATATTGGTTATAAAAAGTTTTATAATAGTAGTGTAGAATACGTAGGTAACTTGTATTTGCCATTTTTAATATTCTAAGTAGGTAAGTTGCTTTGTCATTAATATGAAACATCAAATTTCTAAGACGCTCAAGTGTTTGAATAGCGAATTAACATTTTTCGACTTACTGTACATATTTGTACGGTAAACATATTTTAACCCTCTAAAGATATTTATTTTTTATACATTTTGGTATTACAAAGACATTTAAATAAGCGTGTATCCAACTTAAAATAATTTAAAAAGTGAAATTCTATTGAAATTTTTAAATTATGAAAGATCAAATTACAATTGTATTTTCTCCTAAAGATATTTTGAAGATAAGTTCCTATACATTATAAAGGTTTGTATGTTTAGGTAAACATTAGTCTAATAGTCATAGTTACTTTAAATAACTACTTAGGTAAAAAAAATTGTCTCATGACTTATTTTAGATCAATTAAATGGACACAATACATTATGAATATGGTTCATTAACTACAACATTAATTAACCTTGTTTGTTAAAATTATTTTCTCTAAATAATTGTTTGTAATTGTTCATATGCTATTGAGTAAAAAAGAGAGTGAATTAAATGTATCTACGTATTTATTTAAAATTTAGATTAAGTTTCTTAGTATTTCTCAAATTAAATCATTAGCCTAAAGAGAAGAAATAATTATGTTCGTATAAGGAATACATAGAAAATAATGGGGATAGTTTTATAAATATTAAATAATCATATTTTTAACCTAAAACATGTAATTTTTGCTCATTCTAAGTACATATGATTAAGTCAATATTATAT